AGATGACGTCTGGTGCGTGTGCGAGGGCCGATAGGTGCTTCCCCCAGTATATGACCTCTCAATTCTCGTTCTCTCAGACCTGGAGTAACGAGTCCTGGAAGTCCTTGATTGAGTGTCGCATGTTCTAAGGCTCTTACTTTCTGCTTGCGATGGGGTGGTACGCCTATCACGATCCTCTGAGTGGCGAGGGGGCGTGTTGCCTTTGCGCCCCTTTCCTGTCGCCACCCTTTTTCCTTTTATCTGGCGCTTCATTGATTCCATGTCTACCACCATCCTCCTTATTAACTCATCATGCTCCTTCACGCGATCCTCCAGAATTTGAGGGTCCATCCTCCGCCTCTGTCTTTCAGGACTTTGAGAGCGACGGGAGCTGCCAGCTCGCCTCCCCCTTGCATCCCTCCAGGGGTTCTGTCGCTGGGGTTCTAAATCTGTCATGGGTGAGATAGAAGGTAAACCTTCACGCCTCCTACCCCCCTCTGGGGTTTGTCCGTCGATAGCAGATTGCGGCAAATCCTCATTGTGCGCCATTGGTTTCAACTAAAGAGGAAAACTCGATCAAAAGATTTTGTTCTTTGTGTATTCCCACAGACGGCGCCAATTGTACGAGCACGAAATAATCTTCTCGTATTATCCTGTTGATCAAGTTTGCACTCCCCCAAACGTCGTCGCTTTACTCCCTGAAAACACAAACGTGAGCTAGCCGGCGGGTGTGTGCCAGATACCTCTCTGATGCCTAAATCAGCCAAATAGACAAATAGACAAAGGCTCTATGTATTCAAAAATCAAAGTTGCGTTACCTCTACATAGGTTACGTTGTGAGCTTTTATAGGTTCCGTGTGGCACAATCCTAGTAGGACTCCTACTCCTCAAGGTAGAGTCCTCCTAGGAATCACATTCTTAAGAGATAATGCTTATCCCTTAACACCCTTATCACTGCTTTAACCAACTAAAATGGTTTTAGCTCGGTAGTATGACGAAATGACCGAGCTAATATTGCCATGCTTAAGCGATAGATTTGACCGAGCTTTACCTAGCTCGGATCTTCCCTTCATTGCTTGTACCCCGGTTAGGCATACTCCAACTGGGCTATTTACTTAAGACCAAGCTAACTATGCCCAATGGCGGCCTTATCTCGGCGCTACTTTACGTGATGCTTAGCTCGGTCTGAACTTCACCTAAGCCCAACTAGTTAGCTCTAAGACCGAGCTATATCAACCCTTACCCCGGCCCATTGTGTGGCCCAACTTACAAAGAAGGCCCTTCCTTAGCTCGGCCCAATTTTATTTATAAATTACCCTCTCAATTGTGTTGCACTATATAAACATTATGACACTGTGATTTTCAAACTAAAACTCGCAGATGCATCAAAATGTGAATTTGACGAAGTAAAGAAACACAAAATTGAATAGATGCATTAAAGTTTACAAGTGATGGGGTGAGCCCGGTTTAGAATCTTGCGCAAGTGAGTTGCAAATCCTAACATGGCACGGGAAGGTATTTCGACTCTTATCGGTGTAGGCAATATAAGGTTGGTGGTGCAGGTGTCACAACATAGACCGTTCCCTTGGGGCAGATCATGATGTCACGACTCGGGTACGTAACCCTGGTGCATGGGCATCATTGGTGGTTACAGCAAGTAACATTTGAATATTTGACCAAGGGGGAGTCAGAATTGCCCATGGCCATTGTTTAGCGGTTGAGTGGAAATAGTGCTCCGCGGGGAGTTACTTAAACTTATCTGATGAACTAAATCTATGTGAATTTAAAAGAAAAGTTGGCATTTTTTTATGATGAAATACTGCTTCCGCTTGCCATTGTTCTTATTATCTATTGTTATTACTTCAACTGATAACATTCTTGTTATACTTATTAAATGTTGCTTGTTATTCTGTTAACTACACAGTATGCATTAATTGTGAGTATTATTATCGGGGTGGGTATTTTCGGGTTGTAGTATCTTATTGAGCTCGTCACTCATTGGCATTCTCATTGCCCTAGCGTTTTATGCCAGGTACCGAAGAAATCGAAGGAAACACCGAGGTGTTGGATGGCAACAATCAACCCTGGTTAGTTTGAAGCGTGCCAAAATTCCATGAACCATTTTTTTGAGTTTTCTAGTTTTCTCTAGTTTCTTTTTATATTTGTGTACTAAGACAAAGTTTTAAGTTTGATTGGAGTTGTAATTTAAGAAACTTTAGTTTCCGTGTTGTTAATTAATGGATGATGGTAAATTTGGTGGCAACATTGATGAGAATTCTTAATTAAGAAAATTGATTTTAAGTTTTAAACCTTATTATGATATCCTTAAATTTTGGGGCGTCACAGTCGCTGTATATTGAAAGAATTATTTTTTCCTTGAAGCATCCATAAAAAAATTCATAAATCAAACACGCATCCATAAAATCATACATAAAAAGTATCCATACGATGATTCATAAAAACATCAAGCGTACGAATATCCATAAAATATCCATAAAATCTGTCATTGTTTGTATCCATCAATCAAACATGTTATTACAATTCGTCTTGGTAATTTTTCCCCCCTTAATAGAAATAGACATCCACACTTTTCAGAATCAGTCAACCACAATCGTTCCCCCTTGATCTCCCTATTGTCTCTATAGTAACCACTTATTTTACAAGCAAGTGGTGTAAGTCTTGGTTTTCTGGCATTGTCTCCTGCATCTGATGTCTTTATAACAATGACAAATCCAATCTTCTTCCTAACATCAGAAGCTCATTTAATTAATATTTCACGACTACTAAAAATCTAAAGATAATAAATACATTTATACGTCAAATTATTAATAAAACTCAATACAAATTAAAAATAAGAAAAAAATCATATTCATAAAAAAAAATTTAACAAACTCCGTCTGTAATGAATTCATGACTAGAGTCCACTAATATTATAGTACTTGCGTTGTTGCAATGAGTATAAGTATAATCCTTCCAGGCAAAAAAATAAAGAATATAAAAAAATGAAATTGAAAATACATGGTAATGAGAAACTGAACAAATTAAAAAAATTCGGTTTGAGGTTATCGGAAATGTATCTTTTTTTCCGTAGTTGGTTACCATACTTATATTTTTTGTTCGTCAATGTGATGTCGGACTATTTTATTTTGTTCGATTTTGAACTACCGAACGAAAGTCGAACACCAGGCGAGAAAAACGAAACAAAAATCTACCAAATAAATAAAATAAAAAAAACTCACAATTTCACTTTTTTTATGGCTCTTCACCACCGTTTCTTCATCCATTAATTTCTTTAATGATCAAAATAATATGATTCTCAATTTTTTAAAAGAAGTGTGCAAGAGAAAAGAAAAATTAAGAAAGGAAAAGAAGGAGTAGAGATTGAAGATCAAGGAGTGTAAGGAGATAACAAAATTTATTTAATTTTAGCGTTTTGTTCTTAAAAGTAATTTCACACATGGATAAAATTGAAAAAAAAAAAAACACTCATATGAAGAGTGTAAAGAGGTAAAATAGCTGTGTAAGTAGAATTACCCAACTTTAAAGTCTTCATTTGACATAAGTTAAAATGGAGTTTTTTTTTGACTAAAATAATCACAAAAGATAAAATAATTTTTTTAACTCAACAAGACAAAATGTCACATCCAAAGCATTATCATTTTTTTTTTCTCGTACAAAAATTAAAAAAATCAAAAAAAATTATCTCAAACAAAACTTTTTAACCGCAAACTAAAAAATAAAAACAAAAAACCAAAAAAAAAAAAAAAAACAAACGCACATCGCAAACGAAGCCAAAAGTTCAAACCCACCCACCCACCAAACATTAATCAAACCAAAGAGCATAAAGAATGATCACCCCGACAAAAAAATCTTCAATCCATTATATTTGTAATATCATATAATATATATTCATGTACATAGATTGACATATGTGTTTGATGTAACTACTTGAATACTTCAATCTTCTCGAAGTTCTTCATGTATTGGTTCTTTGTTTTCATATTGTTTTATCAAAACACGTTTCCTTGCTTTCTATTTTTGTTGCTTTCAAAAAGCACAAAAAATGGGAATATTGAGGCCTTAAAATTCGACAACAGCTTCGATCTCATCGTGCGTAGCATTGTGATGTTTGACTCCAAAATGTGGATTTAGTGGGACATTTAAATTGTTCTTGAATTGATCGAAGAGGGTTTTAAAGAAAATACAGACTTGTATTAGTCTTTACATTCGAAAGAAATCTATTTTAACGCAAATAAAAGGTGTTTTGTGAGCTGTTGTTTTGTGGGTATTTAGTTTTGGAATGTGGGTTGAGCTGTTTTTGTGGTTTTGAGCTTCATAGTTGACTTGGAAAGAAGGGAGTCTCTAAAAAGGTATGTTTTTCATTTACAGACTGTTTGGATTGAGGGGTTTGGTGAGAAAAGAAAGAAAAATAGAGAGAAAAAGAACTTATATGACTTGTTTGGATGATTGAGGAGGTGAGTAACGGTGAGGCAAGTTTTTTGAATTGTGTGTGTTTGAGTTATGATATGATATAATTACAAATTGCAGTTTATTGTCTAATGGGCATTTTTTTTAATGTAATACTTAAATTGAATTTGAATCTGATAATAGCCTTTATAAAGTTGAGTTCTAAATGTTTGTTTTAATATCTAAAAGAAATTTTTTGAGTGCCCAGAAAGATATGTTTTGATCGACAGAGGTGTCTTTATATATGCCTTTCTAATTTCTGTACTCAAATAAATTTGCAGTTGTTGAAGCATACACCTTACACCTCTTAAGAGAGGACTGTTAAAATATATTCTTGTTCGGAGTTGGCGAGTTTGAGGGCAGAATTGACGTTCTGCTTATGGTTTTATCATTGAGAAGCTTGGAAAAGTTGTCACTGATTGAAACCGTGTAAAGTATGATTAATTGGATGAGTTTGAATTGAATGAGTTGGATTTGTAATTGATGTTGGGTTTGGTCTGAGAGGCACACATTTGGAGGTGTCCGCTATTTAGACTCTGATCACTGATATTCACATGGGTTCCCAGTCCTCCAAACTCTTGTCATGTTGTTGGGTTTCACGACATAGCGCATCTATTGTTGAGGCACCTAATGTTGGTGTGTCACCTTGCATATCTTTTTTATTTTTATTATTTTTAAATTTTTTTCTTTTTTATGTTAATTGGATGTATGTGTTGGTTGGTTGATATGTCTGCTGTCAGAGAATGAAAAGGAGGAGGTCAGCGACTTGCCTACATACCGTGAATTCACACTAGAGCAGCTAAAGAATGCCACTTTTGGTTTTGCGGTAGAGGATATTGTGTCGGAGAATGGTGAGAAGGCTCCAAATGTTGTTTATAAAGGGAAGCTAGAGAATCAGCAGAGGATCGCTGTCAAGCACTTTAAAAAAACAGCTTGTCCAAATGTGAAGCAATTCTTGGTAAAGTCATTCTGAAGAATCTCTCATGAGCACATGAATTCATACATTTCTCTTGCATAGTTTTTTGTTATGATCATGCTTTGCCATGCAATGCAATTGTATATGGGCGTGATTAGGTAGGACTGCAAATGAAGTCAAGCAAAGCTGAGCTTTGCAATACTTGAGCTTGCCTTTTTCATTTATCTAGCTTGGCTCAACTCGTTAATACTAATCATGCTCGAGCTCAACTCGAAGCTTGATGATGAAGAAAAAATCAGGCTTGATAATCAAGCTTGGTCAGCCCGTTAAATATTATTCTATATTACAATTATGCATATATAACACATTTTACATTATTTAATATATAAACAATATTTATCTTATCGTTTAAGTAAATAATAAACAGGCCAAGCTTATTCTAGCTTGAGCTAAGCTCATTTATTAAACCAGCCTAAAAATCTTGCTCGTACTCATTTATATACGTAACAAACCAAGCTGAGCCAAGCTTGTGAGGAGCTCGGTTCATTTGCAGTCCTAACCATCGGTATCAAATTGTTTTTAGGTGCAAACAAGAAGGTTCAACTGTATTCATTCTTTTTTCTTTCTTTATAAGACCACCCCGAGTTTTTCATTTAGGCTTACATATCTATCCTCTTCTACTTGTGTTGTGAGAGTCTGGTTGTTTCTTTTCTCTCTCTCTGCAGGACAATTATGAAATTGTGTTGTTTCTTAAACCTTTTTTACCTTAAAAATCCTGCACCACATAATATATTTTTCTTGACCCTTTTATTACATTTTGTGTAGAACTAAAAACAGGTTTTCCTTTTTATTATAAAATTTATATTCCATATCTCCTAATTTGTGAAGAACATTTTTGTGCACTATGAAAATTTGTTCTACTCTTTTTACTTTTCATTTAATTTGCATTGATCCAAGATGACTTGCATATCCATGTCGGAATCAATGTTCCTTCATATGTCTTGAATAGGTTTTCAATTACCACGTCACTTATTTTCGTCTTTCTAGCATTGTGATGTTTGACTCCAAAATGTGGATTTAGTGGGACATTTAAATTGTTCTTGAATTGATCGAAGAGGGTTTTAAAGAAAATACAGACTTGTATTAGTCTTTACATTCGAAAGAAATCTATTTTAATGCAAATAAAAGGTGTTTTGTGAGCTGTTGTTTTGTGGGTATTTAGTTTTGGAATGTGGGTTGAGCTGTTTTTGTGGTTTTGAGCTTCATAGTTGACTTGGAAAGAAGGGAGTCTCTAAAAAGGTATGTTTTTCATTTACAGACTGTTTGGATGGTTAGTTTATATGTAAATGCATGTCTTATCTGATGGGTTTATTGTTATTATTTGAGGGCGTTACAAAACAGAAGGAAGAACCAAAATTCGAGGTGAGATAAGAATGAAGTTCAATTAAAGAGACTTCTAATAGATCCTACATGATTTTAAAAAAAAAATTGGGGGCATAAAAATTGTCGTATTACGAGAGAATACATACCGGTTTTCAGAAACTCTGGAGGAGTAAATGCCAAATTTGTACAATATTCTAGAGCTTGTAACAAGAGAAGTTCAATTAAAGAGACTTCTAATAGATCCTACACGAAACAGCCTTTGCTTGTACAATATTCTAGAGCTTGTGCAACATGTAAAACCACCCTCAATCGCATTACCCAGTTCATAGGTTGTGTTTCCCCTAAACCAAAGGAATAATTGCATTATCCAATGCACCAATTTAGATTGGAACTTACCCAAGGATAGAGAAATAATGGAAACATATAGCAAATAATTGACGCTAGTAAAAAACAACAATACTAATGGAACCTATAATAAACAAATTTGGATTTAATAGTGAGCTATAAAGTATGGACACTTCAAAATAGGTGTCGTAGCAATGTTAGACACATATAAGACGCAGACACAGCTGGGACATGCATCTGACACGCCACATGGAGTGTCTATTTATTAATACTTGTTTTTTCACTGGACATGCATGGGACACACTTAAGAAGCATTTAGGCCACGTTCAACTTAGCTGGGAAAAAAAAACCCTTACAATGAAACAAGTGTTTTGCGAGTGTATTGTTGGGCATATATTCAGCCACGAGCAGCATCTCATCATCTTCACAGCAATAACCAAGCAAGTTTGCCAACCAAGGGTTACAGAGATGGCCAACAAACCTTGGTTCTTCCTGTAGTTGCCAAAGAAAAATAATTATAGTCAAGAATGAACAAAAGGCACATCCCAAACACTACATATGTGAAAGACGAAAATAAGTGACGTGGTAATTGAAAACCTATTCAAGACATATGAAGGAACATTGATTCCGACATGGATATGCAAGTCATCTTGGATCAATGCAAATTAAATGAAAAGTAAAAAGAGTAGAACAAATTTTCATAGTGCACAAAAATGTTCTTCACAAATTAGGAGATATGGAATATAAATTTTATAATAAAAAGGAAAACTTGTTTTTAGTTCTACACAAAATGTAATAAAAGGGTCAAGAAAAATATATTATGTGGTGCAGGATTTTTATGGTAAAAAAGGTTTAAGAAACAACACAAATTCATAATTGTCCTGAAGAGAGAGAGAAAATAAACAACCAGACTCTCACAACACAAGTAGAAGAGGATAGATATGTAAGCCTAAATGAAAAACTCGGGGTGGTCTTATAAAGAAAGAAAAAATAATGAATACAGTTGAACCTTCTTGTTCACACCTAAAAACAATTTGATACCGATGGTTAGGACTGCAAATGAACCGAGCTCCTCACAAGCTTGGCTCAGCTTGGTTTGTTACGTATATAAATGAGTACGAGCAAGATTTTTAGGCTTGTTTAATAAATGAGCTTAGCTCAAGCTAGAATAAGCTTGGCCTGTTTATTATTTACTTAAACGATAAGATAAATATTGTTTATATATTAAATAATGTAAAATGTGTTATATATGCATAATTGAAATGTAGAATAATATTTAACGGGCTGACCAAGCTTGATTATCAAGCCTGATTTTTTCTTCATCATCAAGCTTCGAGTTGAGCTCGAGCATGATTAGTATTAACGAGTTGAGCCAAGCTAGATAAATAAAAAAGCCAAGCTCAAGTATTGCAAAGCTCAGCTTTGCTTGACTTCATTTGCAGTCCTATTTAATCACACCCATATACAATTGCATTGCATGGCAAAGCATGATCATAACAAAAAACTATGCAAGAGAAATGTATGAATTCATGTGCTCACGAGAGAGATTCTTCAAAATGACTTTAACAAGAATTGCTTCACATTTGGATGTGCCCAATCATCTATTGCTTGTGGTTGATCCTTAAAAGGAACATGAGACAAGTCTAAATAAGTACCATTTTGAGCTATTGGATACTTATGATTATTATCTTTTCTAGATATTACTGGCTCAGGTGTAGGATTGGAGGTACTTCCAATGTTAATATCATTTTTAACTTCATTTGTTTGAATAAAGTCAAAAATTTCCCCATCTCCCCATATGCCAAATAATTCGGGATCAATTGGCTCTTCTGCCTTTCTTTTCCCTTTATTTATTTCTGATGAAATATCTTGATCTATTGATTCTTCAGATGAGGATGATTGGCTGTCATCATCATTAGTTAACATATTAATATCATAATTAAAGTGTTGTAAAAGGGCTTCATTTTCTAATTTGCAAGCAGATGCAAATTATATTTTGACTAAATTAGAATTATGTAATATTTGTCTTTTTGAAGATTATGTTCAAACTTTTAAAAAATATTATTATCTTATTGATCCACCAGCAAATCAACCCTGGTTAGATCAATTTTTTCATAAACTCCCTAATCCATGGGATGAGTTATGTATTAAAATATATCCTGATTTTCTCAAAAAAATGGGGAAGGAAGAATATGATAATCTTGGTTTTCGCATTAATTATGTTCTAAGGCTGATAGTAGATCGGTGTCTAGAAGCAAAGGCGAAAAAACAAATTAAAAATCAAATTTCTAACTCACCATATGGTCAAAAATGTTGTGGTAAAATTTTAAAAGAAAATTGGAAAATTGGTTGTAATACATTTCTTAAAAGAAAAGGATTTTCCAAAAAGCGTAGAAAATATAAATGGAAACCTTGGAAAAAGAACAAAACTTTTTCAAAAAAGAAAAAGTATATTCGAAAAAAGAAACCAACAAGTGTTTCAAAAAAGAAAACTTGTAAATGTTACATTTGTAACGAAGAAGGTCACTATGCACCCGAATGCCCAAAACGGGGAAAAAGTGCAAAGAAAATGATTAAAGTCCTTGAAGAATAAGATTTTGAAATAATATACGGAGAAGAAATTTCTGATGAAGAAGAAATCTTATATGAAATTTCTAGTGATGAAGAACTAATCTTCATGATGACTAATAATAGTCAAGAAATATCTCAAGAAGCAAATAGTATATCTCAAGAAGAATTACAGGCAATTCGACTTGGAGATGTAATTGAAGAAGAAAAAACTTTTACCGACAAAGAATTAGCAAAATTTGAAAAAGTGCAAGAAGTTGCTGTTCCAGAAATTTACAAACTTTCAAAATTTAACTTCTTTTCAGCAAGAGTGTTTGAACAATACAGTGGTAACACTCAAGCAAAATGGTCAGAAGAAGGAAATATTGATCTTCCTTTTTTTGATAAGAAAAAGGTTGCAAGATGGAAAAAGAAATATCCTGAAATTCAATATATTCATATTGGATTAATTCAAGTAACCATAACAGCCTTATTTCGCCAAGGGATAGTGTAACGCCCTCAAAATAATAACGCTAAACCCATCAACAGAGACATGCATTGATATATAAAAGCTCCACTTTCTTCTATTCATCAGAGTTTCATTATCAAAAGTATTGCATGTTAACAACAAAAGCAAATGCCCTAAAGGCTTACAACTTTCCAAGTTAACACTTGGTTACAACAAAAGAGTGCTAACTCATTTACACTTTAAGCCCTTGGCTTGAATATACATGTAATACAAATAAAACAACAAAAGCCCGCCTGCCTCTAGCCTCCCAAGC